TAAGTTTTAGCATGAGAATTGATTAATATAGTTAAAGTAATTCTATTTTCTCCACCATCACTGCTAGGTCCATGTTCACCAGTGGCCTTACAGAGAGCAGCCAGCGTGAGGTCAGAATTGTTGGGGTGGAATCTGAATCCATGCACCTTGTCCTAGACTATGCCTACACATCCAGGGTCACACTCTCTGAGTCCAATGTCCAGGCCCTGTTCACTGCAGCCAGCATTTTCCAGATTCCTGCCCTGCAGGACCAGTGTGCCCAGTTCATGATCAGCCGGCTTGACCCTCAGAACTGCATTGGAGTCTACATGTTTGCTGATGCCTATGGGCACCAGGAGCTGAGGGAACGCTCACAAGACTACATCCGCAAGAAGGTCAGTTTAACATGAGCAAAGGATTGGTAATTTGCATTATGATTTAATGATTATGTCTGCTACTACTTTATTCTACTATTTTATTCATTTTTTTCAAAGACGTTTTACTATTATCTTATCATAGTGCTTTGTTTGTGACGTGTGTTTGGCTGCTAAAAACTGGAGCGTTATATGTTTCTGTGGTAGTTCTTGTGTGTGTCACGGGAGCAAGAATTCCTCCAGATGACCAAGGAGCAGCTGGTCAGTATTTTGAACAATGACGATCTCAACGTGGAGAAGGAAGAGCATGTCTACGAGAGCATTGTCCGCTGGCTGGAGCATGATCTGCCTGGTCGTGAGGCCCACCTAGCTGAGGTTTTTTCCCAGTGCATCCGTCTGCCCTTGCTGGATGAGGCCTACCTCAGTCGGATACCAGCCCCCTTTGCTTGTGCCCTGTCCCTGTCTAAAGACCCTGCTGAGGCCAAAGCCCGCCTCACTGGCACCAATGGTTGCCCACAGCGCCTGGGTATGACTGCTTCTGAGATGGTCATCTGCTTTGACGCAGCTCACAAACACTCAGGGAAGAAGCAGACAGTGCCTTGCCTGGACACAGCCACAGGAAGGGTGTTCAAGCTTTGCAAACCACCCAATGATCTCCGCGAGGTCGGTATCTTGGTGTCTTCAGAGAACGACATCTACATCGCTGGCGGTTACCGACCGAGCAACAGTGAGGTATCCATAGACCATCGAGCAGAGAGTGACTTCTGGCAGTACGAACACGCAGGCAACCGATGGCTTCCACGTGCGCCTCTTCTGAGAGCGAGGATAGGCTGCAGGCTTGTGCACTGCTGTGGGAAGCTTTATGCGCTTGGAGGCCGAGTTTATGAAGGTGATGGGCGGAACGCATTAAAGTCAGTAGAGTGCTATGATGCCAGGGACAACTGTTGGACAGCAGTCAGTCCCATGCCAGTTGCCATGGAATTTCATAGTGCTGTGGAGTACAGAGATCGAATCTATGTCCTCCAAGGTGAGTTTATCCTGCTTAAGTGAAACTATGTGATCTCTACATTGGACTGAAGATGACACTGAATTGTGTCATATTTCTCATTAATTCTAAATCATGTGAAAAGTATGTATACAAGAAACTATGTTTAAGCATTTGATTACAACTCTACTTTTCTTTATATTTTCTGCAGGTGAATATTTCTTCTGCTTTGATCCCCGTAAGGACTATTGGAGTCATCTAGCCCCAATGAGTGTCCCTCGGAGTCAAGGTCTGGCTGCCTTGTATAAGAACTGCATCTACTACATTGCCGGCATCTGCAGGAACCACCAGCGCACCTTCACTGTGGAGGTCTACGACATTGAGAAAAACACCTGGAGCCGCAAGAGAGATCTCCCTTTTGACCAAGCCACGAGCCCATATATCAAGGCCATGCTGCTACAAGGCAAGCTACACCTGTTTGTACGAGCCACACAGGTCATGGTGGAGGAGCATGTGTTTCGCACCAGCCGCAAGAACTCCCTTTACCAGTATGATGATGAGGCCGATGTATGGACCAAAGTCTATGAGACACCTGACCGCCTCTGGGATTTGGGTCGCCATTTTGAATGTGTGGTGGCCAAACTTTACCCACAATGTCTACAGAAAGTGCTTTGAGGTAGCTCATTTTGTGAACCCAATCTCTGAGGCAGAGGGAGTAGTGTGGTCCTGCCTGTCTTGTGCCTGGTGTTACCTTGGGTTTGCACCATAAGGACCATTTTTGGTTAAGTCTTAAGTCGTTCAAACTTTGGTTTAACATGATCAAAATGGGGGTGCTTTTAAAGATTGCAGTATTTTTTTTTCCAGACAGCACCAACTACCCACACTGATGCTTGTTTAACAAAACCGTACAATGAATCATAAGTGCAATTATCCTATTTTTTGCTTGTTGTTGAGCCATGTTGTTCTATTTTTGTTTTAGATACATAGATAGGTAAGGATTTTTACAAATGATAAGCATGCGAATGAGGGTATTGGCAGGATAAAAGTGCCCTCTGGAGATATGGATGCTACGTGTCAGCATAAAGTGAAAATCTATATATATATATATTTATATATATATATATAAATAACTATATAAACTATATATTCATACGGGTAAGATGAGTACCTTAGCTCATTAGTAGGTTGTTGGCTCTGAGGTTTGTGTGTGTGTGTGTGTGTGTGTGTTTCTATTCTGTGCTCAAGTCTTTCTTTAGCTTATTTTATAGATGAGTTTTAATTTGAAGTGTGCTTGTGATTTACATTACCGTAGTGTTTATGAAGCTTGAAGCTCGAATAATATTTTTATTGCCCTTTCTTCCCTCACAAACGTCAGTGTGTCAAACAATACACTATGTGTGGCTTTCGAGCTATTTTTAAGTTTTGTTTGAGATTCCAGTTGCATGGGGGCTCCTAACTCCCACTCTTTGAGTTGGCATCCATTTTGTGTCACATGCGAAGACAACTTAAGTGAAATGCTAGAATACTCATTCTCCACATTGGAGAAATAAGGACGGAGTCAAATTTGTGGCAACACTAAGTGGAAAGTTCAGACCAACTAACAGGCTTACCTCAGAAACTTCAGAGATATTTGATTAGGAGAAAAGGGACATTTCAGGCCATTGTGTTGATTAAGCAACTGTGTGAAAGGCTCAGTTCAGCACTGAGCTCTGTTGAGGTTGTTTTTCGACATCGGATCATACATTGAGAAAGGTTGAAAGAGCCTTCTTCTTAAATGCCAAAAAAAAGCATTTGAGGTCTTGTTATAGTTGATCTGGACATTGAAAATAATTTTGTGGTAGCAATAACTCATGGAACTGTGATTAGGCTGTGTTATGTCATATTACCTTAGTAAAAGTGCATTAATTGTTTTGTGTGTTTGTCTCTGCTAGTGAAAATCACATAGGTTCCATTAATGATTGTTTGGCTGTTGCATGGGTGCAGGCTTGAAGTGATGCGTCATTTAGTGCAGATCATTTGGGATGCCAATGTGCCTATGGCTTAAAAAAAAAAAGGGGCATCAGAATCAAAAAACTTTTCCTTCTGATGAAGAGCATCTGAAAAGTCTTACTCAGCGTTGCACTGAATCACTCTCCACTTCAGTGGTCCTTAACTGCAAACTTTACGAAGCACCCTCCTGAACAAGCAGACTATAAACAAGTGAGGGTGGCACGGGTTGTGTGCTAATTCATCTAACAGCCATGAATCCGTCTTTACATGCCATCACACAGAGGACACAAACTGTTGGTGCTGCTTTTTTTTTTCTTTTCTTTTTTTTTTGACAATCTTGTATAGAAGAAGTAATACCACCACTGAGTGGCGTTCCCTGTCAAAGTGTGACATTTTCAGTGCCGTCAATTTCTTCATGCAGGTTCCTCTGTCATCTTTGCACTACACATTTCCCTTGTATTTTATCTTAACAAAGAGTGCCCCTCTATTACAAAAAAGGTTTTAGTAACCATATAGCAATCATCTTGAGAGATTTACATGGAAATCAATACTAGAAGAGTCACATACAGTAAGGACTTGAGGATATAATATAACTTCTCCAAGAGAAGATCCACTGTTGAATGACTTTGAGCTGACTCTTATTTGATCCAGCTTGAACATTACCCTCTGAATAGCCCTCATCAAGCGGGAGAGAAGGTTTGAGCTTCATTCACATGTCTACAGACGGCCATTTGAGAACCAGGAACGGAGAACTCTCAGGATTTCTACTGATACACAGTACTGTATTTAAATGTTTTTGTTATGTGTAATATACTGTACTATAGGTTTGCTGTACTTGCACAGTTTTTTAAACTTCAATTTCTTTTATAACTTGAAAAGATAGATGTGATTTTCTTTTTGTTGTCTCCAGTGGCTGTTTCTTTTCTTTATGTAGTTACCTATTTAGTTATGGTAGAGTAATCCTGCTCTGTTGAGAGAAAAATATGATTATCCACACGAGTGATACATTTAGATTTTTCTTTTTTCCCCCCTCTGTAGTACAGTAGTATTTCTAACATCTCACCAAAACTAAGCATTACAGATCAAGTAACTACATCGTTACGTCATGTTTCAAACACCAGTCATGTAATACAACAAGCTATAAAACTGCTATCTGTGTTCAAGAGTTAGTGGCCTTAGGCTGCCATACTTAGCTCACTCTGGTCATCTACATGCATCGCTTATGGGTGCTATTCCATTGTGTTCCTCATGCATTTCTTTACTCACTTTTACTTTGCTGGTTTGTCTGTTTTGGGTTTCGGGTTGTTGTGGTGGTTGAGCTCAACTGTGAAATTCACATTGCACATAATTTGAAAATAAAACTATTAAAAGTGTAATTGGTTCATTTTCATCTTTCATTTTTAATATGTATGCTATTATGTTTGTCACACACAGGAAATCTGTAAGGTCACGGGTAAACATGCAACGGGTGAAAAGCACAGTCAACCCACTGTAAACTGACATATGTATGTAGGATGTTGTAACAGTGCGAGGCTGTGGTCACACCACAGACAGCAGTGTGACCCATAGGCTACACAACATGCAGAGGGGACAAAGCTCTTGTACCAGTGATCCTGATCCCGAAACTAGACAAAACTCCCCCAGGGTATCGAAGTGCCACGTGACACGACGTCAAATAAAGCAGCAGGCTAAAACTTTGGTCTTAAACTTTGTAGAGACAAACGGGCTGTGAAGGAGCTCAATGAAAGGTAAGGTCTTCTCAGATTTTCTGAAACATAGTTATGAGCGTGTCTGTCTTAAATGTGTTGAAAGTTAGAGGTTTTAACACCGCGGTAACTTTGTATCACTGATTTCTGTCGTCCACGTGCCAAGTATCTTCGGCCGTCTTGAGACTTTTTTTCATTGAAAACTCAAGTGTAACAGTTGTAGACCTGTACTTCACCGCACAATTAATTTTTTGGGGGGTGGAAAGCGGTTAGAAACGTCTCGCGTTTGAATGAGTTGTAGTTTTACTCAAACATGATGCTATCCGCCTGGCTGACTCAACAAACAACAGACACTTTGGTTGTTTATGCTGCGTTAATAGCACACCGTATGTTACATCAGACACACGTCACATGCTACCTCTGCATTCAGTATTTGCCAAAATAATAGTAAAATTCATTATTTAAAGGTCTAATGACACTTTAAATGCTGAATCAGCTCATATGTAGTAGCTACAATAGAACTGAAGAGCTTGATTTTATGATGAAAAAGCAGCTTTTGTGTTTCACATCACACATTCCTTTTTATGAAATGCTTGCTAGGTCAGTTATTGCCTACTCTTGTGTTTACAAATATGACTTTTGTAAACAATCTTTCACAGCATAAGAAAACAATAAAAACTTTAATTTAGTTGTCATCTGTTAGCCCATGTATTTAACTGTTAATTAATTTGGGAGTGATGTGTTGAGTCTTATTTTGAAATTTGGCTACTCATTTGCTGCCATGAAGTTCACACATAGTGCAGTATCTCTTAATAAAGCTATCACTTCTGCACATAAGCATGACTGTCTATGGTACATAATTAAGCACTTTTTAAATATACACTTACTACATGTATTTTATTGTTTTCATAATGCAATGTCGCGTGTTTCTTCCACTCTCTGAACAGGAACATGGCCCCTCGACCAGCAGAGGAATTGGGCTACAAACCCCTGGATGGTGGCTGGGGCTGGATGGTGGTATTTGGGGCCCATATTTCCATTGGATTCGCCTACTCCACGTCGAAAGCCCTATCTATTTTCTACAAAGCGATCCAAGAGGACTTAGGGGCCAGCTACAGTGAAACAGCATGGATTTCCTCAATTATGCTGGCTGCCATGTATGCAGGCGGTGAGTTGATTCAATCAGTGCTTGTTATATTGATTTTTCCATTTGGAAAAATAATCACTATTATTAGTAGGATTAGGCTATCTGTCAATAAACTATCACTGCCAGATTATTGACATTGAATTCACTTAATACTTTTTGGGCAAATTTAGTGGTAACCTTGTTTAAAAAATCCAAATAGCCTTTGTTCCATGTGGATATTACGTGACAATATCCCAGTATAGGAACATTTAATTTAAACAAAGTAGTTTATTGTTTAAAGAGGATGTTCTCTCTTTGTCAAGCAGGTCCACAGTGATTTAGTGGCCTCAGTGCAGTAAACGCTTCTTTTTGTTTTCCAGTTTCTCCATGGTGATGGTCTAAGATAATTCTATATCTTGTAGCACTAGTTAGACAAAAATTGTAACTCAGTATCTACTTTGCTATATACATCATACAACAATGACTAGCTGGTTCTTCAGTCCAGGCAAGGCCACATTGTCATTCTCATCACAACATTTGGAAAGCTTACTGTTGTTTACAGATTTTACCCCCGGAATACATTGATTTTCAGCCACATTTTATGATCCCATAAATCCAAAATTTATTGTGTTGCCTAATACAAAAGTATACTGTTCTGTACAAATTGTGGTCCTTTTGTAGTGAGCACAGCTCAAAACAATGTATGCTGCATGTAATACAACAGGCTACCTCAAACATGTCTTTGCATGGCATAGCATTGCTGTGATGCAGTTCTTTTACTTAATGGTCGACATACGCTGACATATCTGCTGTAAGCTAATATCAGCAGACATGCTACATCAATAAAACCACCTGGTTACCGTAAATACAATAACTTCAATTTGAAAGTTGCAGCAGAGCACATTGAAATTCACATAACTTCAGGACATCACAAGTTCTGTAGCCAACACCTATAATCAATACTCTTTACAAGACTAGAGAATACTTTTGTATTGACAGGCAAATAATAGCCTGCAGGTAAACCAGGTTGAGCTGTTTTTTTTCTCTTGGTTCTTTTGTATTGTATTGTATTGTGTTCCCCTCGGGGCTCTGACGCACCAAGCTCACCTTCAAGAACTAGCACTGATAATGGTCTGTTGATCAAACACTCTTCAAGTCACCTTACATCTTCTGTTAAAAGTTGCACTTGAACACACCACAAAGACCACAGCTAATGTTGAGCTGACTGCAGAGTAACACATCTGTGTGAGAGGGAATAAGATGACATCAAATGGCATTATAGCCAAAATTAGTGTAAGTAAGTAAATTCCAGTTTCATAGCAAATGGAGAATCCTTTTACTATCTTGCATTTGTCTTCTCTACAAAGAAAAATAACAGTTTTGTATGGTTGTGCTGTAGACTCATTTAGACAAGATAGAAAATTGAGAAATTGACTTCACATGACCGACTGCACCCACTTAAATAGCTTCAGGCTGCCTAATAAGGTGAATGTTGTTAGCATGTATTACTCGCCTGACTTTAATTTAACTATGCACACTGACACTGCTTAATCTAAGTCGTTTAACAGCAGTTTAGCACTTTCTCTTTAACATTCAGGTTCGTACAGAATATGTGTGCAACTACACTGTTATAGCACTACTGAACTACTTCTGTGTGGTGGTTCTTGACCTTCTTGGCTTTTGACTTTTCTTAGCCAAGCAATGCCTGCTAGTAATCACAAGCCCTTGTCCTGGGTTAAAAATGTTCATGAGCTGTGAGTAAGCTACTTAAAACAATGTTACAGTCACATAATGTTAGATTTAATAGGTTTTTGTCAAAGGTCCCATATTTTACACTTTATGGTTTTTTATTTGAAGTTTTGATATCCATAAGAAGATATATTTAGGGTTTTAAGTACTAAAAACAGTCTCAGTGTAGTTTTACCACTCCTCTCCCAGGCTTATCTCTGGAGCTCTAGTAACAACAGCAGTCAGTGAGCTGGCTCAGACCCTATCTTCTGATTGGCTGACTGTTGTCTGAGTGATTGAAAAAAAAAATATAGCAGATTTCAGGTAAACACACAAGGTTGGATGGTCGGTCTGGGTGGGCGGGGCTTGGGGAATGGCTAAGAGCGATGACTGCTTAGTTGTGACATCACAAAGTTCCAAAAGTCCTTACGGCTCGTTTTAGGGCTCAGTTTCCGAAATACAAGCTGCTTGCATTTTTCTGTGGACTTAATGAATGTTTTCTATACATTTAATAATTTTGTGACCAGATAAATCTTGTGGCCTCATTTTAGGTCAAATTCAGACAGACAACAGTGCCGCTTGCAAAAACGCATTTGAATGGGACCGCTCTGCCAAAATAGGGGGGGTTCTAGGGGAAAAAACGCAGGGTTGTCTGGCAAAAAATGTTGACATTTAGCCAATCAAATAAGTGCAAGCCTACTTTCCTGGTAAGGGGAACAGTGTACTTCTGCTGTTTATTTTACTTATTTTATTGTTGACACTCAGCAACCTCAACTTTATTAGGTCCTGTCAGTGTCATCTCTGCTGTGTGTTCTTTGTGATGACTGGTTGATAGATATCAAATGTGTGAGAAAACAGATAGAAAACCTCTGGATCTCTCATTGGGTGAGCTTAAACCAGTTCCATTGTTTCATCCATAACGTATTGTTGGTGGCTTAGTGGCAGAATTTTCATTGGCCATAAAGGAGGGATGTGCATTAGACCTTTAATCTTGTAACAAAATAAAATTTAAAATACTATTTTTCCCTTCAAATACAACACACTATTTGTGGTTCAGTGGTTGAATTTTTCATTTGCAGCTGAATAAAAGGTCTGTAAAAGGGATGGATGAATGTATGCATATGTTGCAAGAAATTAGCACCTGGGTCGATGTCAGATAAGATACACATGTCACACCACTGCTTTCACAACAGGCAAAACAATCAGAGAAATCTCAAATAACTTTTCCACAGGTACAGTACTTTGGAAAACTCATTAGATGACACAAAATATGCCAAAATAGAAAAAAACTTGTGTAGGCTTTACACAAATCATTAGCCGCTTTCAAGGTTACAGAACAAGGGGTGTGTGACTCACCTGCACTCAACTCAGGGAGGCCTAACTGGTGAAATATTCCCTTCCACTGTGGCTCAGGCACAGGGCTTTATCATATTGTCCTTGGCAAGGCTTCAGCAATGTCACCCAGTGGAGGAGAGAGACGGGGGTTATATATCAGAGGAAGGTTCAGCACACTGGGGTCTGACGCCAGGTCCCCATGGGAGAGACATGACAGCCTTTTCAGAAAACCTCTGACTCAAGGAGTCCAAATGATAAAGTTATAATGGAAGTGGAAGTGGTGGTAGTGCGGGAGATGCCCTATTGTGACAGCTACAGTGAGAGAGATGATCTATGTTTGACCCCTGCAGGCACCTGGTTAACAGTATAACACTAGGATGGATATTTTTATTTCATGTACAGTAGTTACATTGGTGCAGCACATAAAGTTGTTGAGGACAGTTCTTTACATGAAACGAGAAAGAAAGGCAAAAAATGAAAGAGAACTCTTCACTGTCACTCGGTTAACTTTTTTTAAATGGGTATTTCAGATCCGAGCAGTTCAGTGCCTTGACATTAGTCCATAGACATTGCTCTTTTATTCTTCTTAACCACTCTATACTATTCCTGGAATTACAATATTTTGAAGAACAACACCCGTGGGGTACAACAAGATAGGGGTATGATGACACAATGTAAATAGCTAATAGGAATGTGGAGTAATCCACTGATGATCTACAGCAGTTTCAAAGGGCAGAGGCCTGAGGGAAAGTAAAATATCTGAAATACACTTGTGATGTTATATTCTGTTGTTTATGTCAAACCTGTTTTATTGTGGCCTAAAAGGTTTTGTTATCTTGGCCCATGTGGTCCCGCTGTTGTTCGACAAGCTGCTGTCTTCTGGCTTAATGGAAAGCCTAGGAAAAGTGTATTCATTTGTGTCGCCAGGAGGGTTGAGTGTCGAACATTAATATTTTTTGAGTACTGCTGTTAAATGGGTCAGTAGCATCAAGCAACTGTGAAGTACCTAAATTTGGCTGTGAATGCCCAGCCAGATGCTTAATTTGGGTCAGAGTTTTTCTTGTGGTAAGACAAAAGTAAACACAGAGGCATTTGAGAAGTTTGGCTTTTTTCCATTAAAGCTGCATTTATCAATATTTTTATATTGACAGTGGATCAAATGATGTGTAATGTGAACGCTGTTGCTTGTAGTGACGAACGTGCCCTGCAGGTCTATGGAGTGTTTTATCGCCTTTAGCTTATTGTTTGGTTTTATGTCCCACAAGTTAACTGTTTTGGTCCAGTCTCACCGCTCACATCAATCATGTTTCTAGCAGCAGCAGCAGGCTGATATACAAAGTCCAGAATTCACTCAGGTATTGACTTAGTTTGGAAATTTCAAACCAGGCTTACATACCACCAGCAAGTAACTAATACTAAAATCCAAAATTTGCCTTTTATGTATTGTTATATCTACATCAGATGAACATGTGATGAACATGTTTTATAAATATTTAATTAAAAAGAAATACAAGGACATGGTTACAGATATACCGCATAGGCTACCAAACATTCATGTATGGTTGTAACAATCATAAACAAATAGATAAACTAACTTTTGAATGAATACAGAACTTGCACAGGTTAAACTGAAGACAAAGGCTCAGAGTGAGCTGCGCCATGTCACCATATTGGCAGTGTTTTACTCCGCCTAGGTGGGGCATGTATGGAGCGGAGATTTCGGTGCATGCTGGAAATTATCTATAGAGGCCAAAACAGTTTTTTGTACCAGGCTGAAAACATGTTTATTTCTGCTGTAAAGCTGGACATTTTAACATGGGAGTTTATGATAATTGACTCGTTTTTGGAGCCATCCTCAAGTGGCCATTTGAGGAACTGCAATTTTTGGCACTTCCTTGTTGGCTTCATTCTTCAGCCCCGTAGGTTGCTGCTTAGAAATTGATCAGCCTAGGTAAACATCCTCTTGAAGACAGTAGGTGTTTGCCAAACATCTAATACTCTAATACTTTTGACTGGGCTGTTTTTCATTAACACCGTCCACACAGAGACCTATCACACATTGCATTGAAAAGCAGCAGCATGTTAAGGTTTCAATAATCATGGCAGCCTGTATATTAGTTTGATTTATTCTCTCCTCATTTTTCTATATGTCTGACTTGAATTATTATATATTCAAAGAATTGGTCTTCATAGCAAGGAGAAGAAATGGCGTGCTGCAGAAAGACTGGTGGTGCAATGTCACTCTTTTAGGCAAGGTTATGAATGAAGGGAGGAGTGACAGCATATAAAAGACTGTTTAATTGCTGATTGATCACTGAGTGTAGTATTCTACATTATCAGGGGAGAGTATAATGAGTTGCCAAGTTGCTTAGCAATAAACGCAAAAGTGTGGAGGTGTTCCATCACCTGTCCTTTTGCCCTTGGTTTAGACTTACAGTAGACTGAGAACTGGTCCCGTTGTTCTCTGAACCCTTGGTCACTAGCAGTAGGTAAGTCAATTGCTAAAACTTTTTATATTGAGATGTATTTTATGATCATTCTGAACCACTCTTTGTTTCTTTTTCTGATTCTTTGTAGGACCTGTGAGCAGTATCCTGGTCAATCGCTTTGGAAGCCGGCCAATAGTGATACTGGGTGGACTGATGTGTGGGCTCTCTATGGCAACTGCCTCTTTTGGGAGCTCCATCATTTACATCTACTTTTTCATTGGTGTCATCGGAGGTACAGCGCTTGGATATTTTTTAAAATATTGCTAAGTTCTTTTTCACAATACATATGCTGCGAAGTAGTACGGTGTAGACGTGCTCTTCTTGGACATGACTTGACTTAAAAGGGCTTAACCAATTTGATTGATTCTACTAAATGCATACCGGCCTTGGGAATCTGTAGAAAATTAGTTGACAAGGAGATCACAACCCAAAACTAAGACAAAGTACCTGTGGGTTTGTAATTTAGTGAATGAGCTAGCTAATTTCATGCTTACCTCTTTGCTTGCCATTCCCATCAGCCCTGGTTAATCCCCTATGGGGTTTAGAGGTTGGCCGTCTGCCTCTTTTTAGATTCTGTCAGAATATCTGGGTTGCCAGACCAGCTTCCCCTGACTGGGCTGCCGTGCTGTTTGTCAGGGGCCCAGGGCAACTGCCTCAGCTCCTGGGGTGGAGATAGACCACCAAGGGGAACAGAACCAGGGCGGTAATTAAGATAGAACCGTGCCTGATCCCAGAGAGCACGCTCTTATGTGGCCCTCTGTACTCTCCCATAGGCTCCCATCATGGTCGTCACATGGGGACTCCCTGCCACCCTGTGAGGCTCATTACCCTGCCAAGGACTGCTGTGAAGGATTAATAGGCCCAACAAGTGGCTGTGCCATGTGTGGTGCCTGGGGGCATATGTGAGCCCTGCTCTGCTTCCCTGTTCCCTGGCACACTGACACATAGGCATCAGTTTTACCTAGCAGACATGCAGACATATGCTCACACATACACACATATACATACACAAATGCACTTACATTCAAAGAGATAACCTATGAATTAAAATCTTTACAGAATTAGCAAATGGCTTGCAGTAAGTAATTATCCTTGTGTCCTTTTATAGCAGGGGATGTCATTTTGAAATAGGCGTGGGCAGTCAAGGTCAGGCTTATTGTCATTATACAAGGTTGCAGAAAAGCCACTGTGGATACATATGAGGCACAGAGTTCAGCATATGGATGTTCCAGTTCCGAAAGGTTCACATTTTAGATTATGTGGGGCAACAAAAGACGTTCAAGTGATAAATCATTCAAGAAATAGGCTTTATAGAGCAAAAAAGTTGTAATAGTGATAGTAGCCAACAAATTGGAAAAATAGGGCAGTTAGGAGATATAACCTTGTGCCAGTCAATGCAGTGCTTTAAAAATAAATAAAAGGATCTTAAAATCACGTGTCTATTTCACGGGTAAACAGTGAAACAGGGTTAGTACAAGGGAACCAGGTGCAGTTGAGATAGAGCTGACTGACTGAGTCCTACATAGAGTTGCAGTAGTCAAGGTGAGAGGAAATAAAAGCATGAACTATACTCTCCAAATCTTTAACAGACAGGAATGATTTTAACTTGTGTCGAGTGATCTAGGATGGAAGAAGCCAGTGTTGACAAATTAGCTAATTTGTTCATCAAATTTTAAATTTGAGGGATCATGTCTGTGTTATTGCACTAATTCAAATTGAAATTGAAATTTATTTGTACAGCACCATCTCATACAATATCAGTTCGAAGTGATTTACATAAAAATGGAAAAAGAAATAATAAGAAAAAAAGAATGAATGAATAAAAAATTTGATAGTTGAATAGACAGTGGATAAGATGCTTCTTGATGTCCTTGTGCTTATGACAACTTATGGACAGTCTCTGGTTGGCTGTTTAGAGAGCGCTGATGGACTTTACTCCACATATTGATCATTACCCGTACCAGTACAGACACTGAGATAATGTTGAAAAACAGTGGAGTATTCCTTTAACGGAAGGACATTTAACAAAAAATAGTAACTGGTCATGGTTATTTGCTGCTCTAAAGAAGTTAACATAGCCTTTTAATTTACCTTAGGCTAATTTTGTAAATTAATTTTTAACAACACGTTTCATTTCAACATTTCATCCACTTTATTCATTAACATTTCTTTATTCATCAGAATCCCTTCATGCTATCCTAATGAAGAAATGATCTACTAAAAGAGACAGTAAGATGCCACTTTGTGATGCTTGATCTTTGGATGGCCAAACATTTAATCAGCTGTTAAGAAATCAAAACATTTTCTTAACTGTCACAAATCTGTAAGATGTCCAACACACACAGTAACATCTTCAGTGCTTAGAGTGTGTGTAACACAGACTCACAGTAGTAATCCAGTGACTCAGAGATGCCACATTTTCTGTGACTTACTATATGAATCATTGTTATTTAAAGTCAGAGTAATGCAAAATAATGTTTCAGGCTTGTGTTAAATTTATGCTGTACTGTAAAATCTTCCTGTTGTTGAAATACACTTTCCTCTACCAAACATCATATGGTAATCCAATGTTTGGACACAAGTTGAATAAAGATATAAAAAAAAGAAGAAAAATCTGGTTCTCATGGAACCAGAGAAGAAGAAGGATATTAAATTGATAGTGAGAATATAGCAGCCCTAACCAAGTACCTGTAGCTCTTCAACTTAAAGTTCACACATTGTCTTCTTTCATTTACCTATAAAGCAGGTCTATGTGCCATATAAATACTGTGAAAGTATGAAAATGCTCCGTCCGCACTGAAATGCACAAAGCCCATATGCCTTAAAACGAGCTGTCAGGACTAATGTAATTTCGTGATGTCACAACTCTACAGTCACCACCCTCAGCCATGCTCCCATCACGGCCCACCTTGACCCACCATCTAACCTTTTTTTTGTTGTTGTTGTTTTAACTTTGTCAACAACACTACACCAAGCACTCATTCTGTCACTGAGCTAGCAAGCTACAAGACAGAAAAATGTCAAGGAAACGCTGCACGATCACTGGATATCAAGAAGCCAGTATATCAATGCACAGCCTTCCCAAGGACAGTAATGTTAGAGGGCAGTGGTTAAAGTTTATTTTTCTGAAATACCAGAGCATTTTATTTTAGAATTTCATTTGTCTGTTCAGCTCATTTTGCCATTTGCATTTACCAGTGATTTTCACCAAGCCGCAGTAGTAGGCTACAATCTGTTTGCTGTGGATGACCTGACCCTGGATCACTCCATCAGCCAGTAAAACTATAGTGGGATGGTTTTGGGTACTTAAAACCTTAAATATATCTTCTTATGGATATCAACACTTCAAAATATGTAAAATATGGGACCTTTAAATTGAATTTTGGATAAAGAGTCAAGAGAGTGCATGTGTTACACAGGCTCTCTAATCTATTTCTACTTAAATGGAGGGATTATTTCTGAAATAATTCCAGCACTCTGTGATGAGATTTAGCAAAACTGAAATGAGATGGAAGCTTAATGACCACTGAGCAGAAACACAGTTAATTTAATTTAGCGAGCACCCTCTGGAGCTTAGGTTCAAGAAGGGTTTCTTACTAAAGATTGTTGGAATCTGACTGTGTATTTTTCCATCTGTCTACACACAGGTTTTGGACTCTCCTTAAATCTGAATGCATCTCTCACCATCATCAGCAAGTATTTCTTGATCAAGCGTCCTTTAGCCAACGGACTGGCCATGGCCGGGAGTCCAGTGTTTCTGTGTTTCCTGGCCCCTCTAAACCAATATTTACTGGACAAGTTTGGCTGGAGGGGAAGTCTGCTTATCCTTGGCGGTCTGATTCTCAACTGCTGCGTTGCTGGAGCCCTGATGAGACCTGTTATTCCGCCTGGTAAGCCGTCCTCTTGTGCACCACAGAAGATGGTGGAGGAACAGCCAAGACAGTGCAACACTAAGCTAAAACAAAGCTGTATGAAGAATGCTAAGTTCTTGGATTTGTCGTTCTTCAAGGATAGAGGCTTCATCATTTACCTCATAGGAAATGTGATGTTCATTTTTGGGGCCTATGCACCCATTGTATTCCTGTCAGCCTATGCTATTGACCAAGGCGTAGAGGAGTACTCCGCCGCCTATCTGCTCACTATTATGGGCTTTGTGGACATGTTTGTTCGTCCTGGCACTGGCCTTCTAGCCAGCAGCAAGTGGATCAGACCCAGAATCCAGTACTTCTTCAGCTTTGCTATGGTCTTCAACGGCACGTGCCACTTACTTTGCCCACTGATGAAGAGCTATCCCTTGCTGGTGGTGTATGCAGTATTTTTTGGCATTAGTTTCGGCATGGTTTTTGCCCTTATTTTTGAATGCCTGATGGACCTGATGGGAAATCAACGGTTCCCCAGTGCTGTCGGACTGGTCACCATCATCGAGTGCTTCCCCATGCTTCTGGGACCACCTACTGCAGGTAAATGTGCACACTGAATATAAAATGCATAAACAATCACATTGTGTGTACAGATCCCTCTCTCTCTCTCTCTCTCTCTCTCTCTCTCTCTCTCTCTCTCTCTCTTTCCCTTTCTTTCTGTCCCTGTCTTACACAGGCAGTATTTACTCTATAACTCCCTTTAGATTGTTGATAGATACCTTACGCTGCTCCTTTCTGCAGCTGAAGAGCCAAGGGGAAGTGAATAATGTAGGCTTACAAACATACAAATGCAGAAAAAAAACCTCTATTGTTAGAGCATACATAAATAGCCAGTTTGAAGCAAGCTGCTTTGCAAACAATGCAGCAAACTGAATTAAACATATTTGTGGGTTTATCTCTTTCTCGGTCATGGGCTGTGCATTATGTCGCATAAGAGCTCAGTTGCTTCCAAGGGTGTCATTGCTGTAAGACAGAGCAGGATTATCACTGGTGAGTAGGGGTTCTTTGAGGCACATGAGGGCCCACAAAAAATAGTAATTGGTCATGGTTATTTGCTTGTAAAGAAGCCGGCTGTGCTCATTGCTCAGGCTTTCATGGCATGTTTTGAATATTTGGAAGAAAAAGCTAAGAAGCTGAGGTTTGTGTGCATCCTTTACATTTACTACATTAGTGTACTGTTCTACCAAAAGAGCAGCAGAATCACAAATCCTTCAGCAGCTATACTGGCATTTAAAAAAAAATTTTAGAGTTCATAAAAAGTTGAGTGTTTGCGAGGAGTTATTAGTTAAAGGACAAAGTGCAAACTGATAATATGTAAAAGATTTTAAGGAGTGTTGCAACATAGGTCAGGCAGTGTGCCTGGATAGCCTGGTGCCACACCTCTGAATTGTGTGCATATATGTGTTGGGTGATATAAAACTGACAGATGTGAGGGGGAAGGCACAGGAAGAGGGACTTTCATTTTCTGTCTGTGACACAAAATGTCGAGTGATCTTGGAAACAGGATATTGAAAACAACAGACAGAAAAAAATGCTCTCACAAAAGTTCCCTATGTTAGACTCTGTCGCTGTGTCCTGTGCAGTAAATGAATGTGTTAAATAAGTCTTTGTTCTGGCTGCCAGTTGGGATTCAAGCCTGAACCAAAATGTTTTGATACCAAAATACAAATACAACTTTTATTTTGCTTTGACAATGGAAAAGCATTCCTGGCAAAATACAGTAGAATTTAAATTGTGATTGCGTCCTAGCGATGGGTTGGTAATTTCACTGCCCCAAGCCAGAGCTTTTCAAGTCTGACACTGTGTGCACCCTCTCAGGCAAAATTGAAATCGTGCTGAATGAGTTTAAGCATGTTCCTTTGGCTGTACAGACAACTGTCACTGGATTTCTTTGATATTGCAGGGAATTTAAAATAGGATGATTCTCAGAGAAGCTCTGGGGTTGTAAGGAGCATCTGTTTTTATGATTTCAGAGTAGATTTAAGGATGTTTATTCACCATTCATGGACATTGGAGATAATGATATCCTTGGAAAGTGATTTCTTGATAATAAAACTAAAACCTGGATGATTTCACAAAATTATACAACAAACTCTATAGCTACCCTGTTTTTATAGCCAAATGACCGTTAGTCCTGGCTAGGCTGTCACAGACTTCTCTGGTTATATCATTATTAATTTAGAAATTGAATTATTCCCTTTAATATATGTGGTTGGTTGGGATTTTTTGAATGGGTCAAATTCTGTGTGTTATATTTTATTGTTCCTAAAGCTACAAGCTGAATTACTGAACTTTTTGTTTTTGCTTACCAGCCCATCAGATGGGAGAAAAAGCTGTTTTTCATCTGATGACATTCCCAGAGCTCTTGTGTCTCTGATACGGCTTTAGATTGAAGTGTTGGACAGCTATCTTCATGGTCTAAATAACTGTGTAATCAGAAGGATATTGTTTGCCCTCTCTGCTTCCTTGCCATTTTCGAGACTGGTGCACTTTTGAAAATCCCACTATAAAACACTTCTCTTGATTCAGTAAAAACAGAGGCGTTGTATATAATGACAGTAACAGTCTCTGAAAAAGGAGCTATTGGAGAAAATTGTTTTCGAGTGACTATTTGCCATTGATAGAAAATAAGCACTTTCAATTGAGGCCTTATTGTTGGCTTTAGAGCTGGTAACAGCTGCCACAGAGACAGGAAGAAAGTAAGTTCTTTGAGGATGCAAATGAATTACGGCTTACTGATGATGCTGGCAATTTGTTGTGAGATAATCTTCAACAATTCAACTCTCCTGGACACATAAAAAGTAGAAGTACAGTACCAAAGCTGGAGTTTCATTGCAAACAAAGGTCAATTGTTTTAGTTAAACTTGTTAAAGGTTAGGAGCCAACTGAGTTTAAAAGGCTTTGCAGTGATTATTTTACAGAAATGCCAAAAGAACATGTCAAAACATCAGTGTAAACACTGAGCCATGACATTTGGATTTGTCAGTGAAGGTGTGGCACACTTACTCCTACAATGAAGACACGTCAAGTTTAGAATTTAAACCATAAATGGCTAATCGATTAGTCAATTTATTGAAAAATAATCAGCAACTATTTTGATAATCAGTTAATCAATTAATGAATTTTCAAGTAAAAATAAAAATAAAATCAAATAATTAAAATATTAACTAGAAACAATTTTAGCAAAACGCTGCCACATAACAAAATGTGAAAAAAGTGACGGGGTCTGAGCACTGTTTGAATGCACTGCAACAAGATGGTCAATATCATCACTGATCCTCTGTGAGGTTTACGAGCACAGACTGACGTGAACCCTAAAGCTCGACAATCAGGCAGCAGAGTCTCAGTGAAAGTTCAGTTTACTGAATTCAGGCAGAGAAATAAGTAAACAAGAGTTTGCTGATGCCAGTTTTCAACATTTTCTGTTAAGGCCATGTGGGAGTCAGGCATTACATTAACCAACATGCACCACGTGTCTTTTATGCTCTATGTCTCTACCAGGGATGCAAAGTAAGTCTACCGTCGCCTCAATTTTTTTTACAAGCCTCTTTCTTGTTTTAACCGTCAGTTTGAAAAATAACACAAGATCTACAATATTCAAGGAAGATTATTTAGGTAAATATCTGCTATATATGATGGAAATTACATTTGATAAATTGGTTAGAATAAAAAAGAAAACAAAAACATTACTCCCATCATCCACATCTCCAGTCCCAGTTTAATGTCACTCCCACTCGTCAGAATCAGATTCTGAAGATTCAGCGGTTCTTTCCTGAGCCTTCCTCTCCACCTCTATTAACTGTGACCCCCTAGGCTGGATGCTGCCTGATGCCAGAGCTGGATGGCAGGGCAGGGGTCATAAAGCTCTATAGAGGGAGTGGAGAGCTGATTGGTCAGCAGGTCACAAAGGCTTCTTGATGTAAGACAGGACCTCCTCACTCCGCATTTGATTGAAGGCTCTGTCACAGTCTGCTGTAGAGGCGGGTAGAGTGAGAATGCGGTTGGCCAGGCTGAGGATGTCAGAACACAAAAACCTGCTGATCTCTTGCCAGGTCCTTATATTACCTTCTCATGCAGTCTGGTCTTGAAGACAATCCACTGGTCTGGGATGAGTTCAGTAGCCAGGATGTCAGGATGCTCCGGAAGTGTCTGGTCAATTTCTCCACTTCCGATTCACTAAATTCTGAAAAGAGACAGATGTGATTGAAAAAAGTACTGAGTCATACGCTTTCAAGAATTTGTGGAGGAAATAAATGTTGCAGTTTGAATCTAACATACAAACAGTGATCTGTGTCAGGACAACTGTTCAGATTCACCAGCTTTGTAGCTTGGAGAACCACATTCTCATGTCAGTGAATCGACTTTGCAGACTCTAGTGGTCTTTGGCCATAACACGGTTTAAGTTGTTGTTATCATTCTCATACTGGTCCATACAGGCTTTCAGCTTTTGGCCAGGTCTGTGGTACATTAGTAAGTTTATTCAGCTAAGCAGCCATGCATAATTCTTCAGTTCTCTCTCAGGCACTCACCTGGTTTTGTATTTTGTGAGCACTGTCTGGGTGGTTGTCAGGCAGCTTTATACTTCAGCCACTGTGACAGTTGGGGTTTGAGGAGTCTGAGAGAGGTTGTCGAGGTAGGTCAGGCAGTCATGCATGAAGTTGCAGAACATGAAAACTGCTGGCTCCCGGCAGGTTTGGAAGTAGTGGCGTGCTTTGCTCCTCTGCACTGGATTCACCCCTTCAGCATCTGGTGACTGAATCTTCATGCAGTCTTTATACTTATACCTCTTAATCCCTGTGATGCCACATTGTTTTTTTGTTTTGTTTGTATGCTACATTAGTCTAGGCCATTTGACCTTGGGTGATTCATTTTAACCATTGGCTGCTAGATAGCGTTCTTTGCTCAAGTTGTCTTGGTAACCACATGTGTCTCCCTGTTAAAGTGTCCAATGGAAACAAGCAGATTGCCGTTTTAATCTATTTTAGGGGAATGCCAAAAATTGCTCTGTTACACTTGTATTATTTGTTTGTGTATGATAGTTTTAATTACCCACTTCCCAAAATCACTGGGGGCCATATCACAGAAACTTCCTATCTTAAGTCTTAAGATAGGCAGAGTGTAAGATAGGAGTTTAGTACTGAAGCAAATCTTAACTAGCTTTAGGAATTCTACCTTATCTTACTTCATCCTATTTTATCTCATGTTAGTAAATCCTAAATACTCAATCCAACACCAGTTATCAACTTTTATGTCTGTTACCTAGCAACCAACGCTGCTATTCTCTTCTCATCTCATCTCGCTGAGGTTTTGTTTAGACTTTATCATTGAAACTAACAAAAACTGGAAAAACCAACAAAGGTCTTTTAACTTCCAGACAGATGAGTTAGAAGTGTTGGTAACATCTGTAGAAGAATCTTGAGCAACCTCCTCCACCATTAATTGATTAGCTCTGTCTTTGCACCAATCAATATGTCAACTTTAGGGTTCACTCTGAGATTTTTGTTTAGTGTCCTAGACAAATACGCTGAGGGTGTAGTGTACATGCACATGACTTAATTAGCTGTGCATATCGTTTCACTGACAAACTTTTCCTTTGCCTCCAACTTGAGTTTTAATGAGGTGAAAATTTATAGGCCCCCCAGTTTGTCTGGTGCAACCCAGTTCTGAGGCGCTCATTTAATAGGGTAAATAAGTGCCTCCCTGCACGTCTAACATTCTCCTCCAGAGGGCACAATCGTTATGTCTCCCCTAACTAGTCTGCTTGTTACTGCTCCCCCAAAACCTGCGGGTCAATCCAATTAGGAGAAAGTGAGGTAAGTGGGTGTAATTAGCCTTTTGCTTTGGGTGTTTAATGACGCTCAGTTCAAACTCTCATCATTAAAGTCCTGTACCTTGGCCATAATTAAGCTGTGAATACATTAAAAAAAGAGGTGACTATGCCAGATGGACTTAATTACTGCTCAGCCAATCAAGGACTGTCTTAATGAGGGTGATGGTCATTGGCGTACACGCACCAGATGAGTGCTATCAATCAGATGATTCAGCCTTCATTGAGATTGTTGAAACTGATCCAAATGCAAAGTGACCCCTCCTAGTGTAAGTACTCTAAGTGCACGCACATACGCAAACATCATTATCATCAGTATTTGTCGTAAAGATGATAATTGGTGTACTTAAGAAGCTCTACCAAGGAAATGGCCCTTTTAAAATTAATAGATTGTGATAAGATAGTCTAACAATCTGCAATAAAGATGCCCCACAAACTGGTGCGCAACGGCAGTCTCAACAGTCAGGACCAAAAACTTCTTGAAGGTTGGAGGAAGAACAAACTGAAACAGGTTGTCAGAAACACTCCTGAGTTTGTTAATGGTTAAACCATTTTACAATATATGCATATACATAATATCATGTATTTTATTATCAGATGATACTGACACTGAGGAAAAGAAAAATGTCCCTCCTAATGTGATGTTCAATAAGGCTCAGAAATGTTCTAGAGATGGGTTGTAATACACTGAGATGGACGGACAGACAGACTGTCATACATGCTGAGACTGAGAGAAGTAGTGGCTTTCGCCCATCGATCTGTGTCTGGAGGTGAGGTGGGGGTGGCTGCAGGCGGGATGCAGTTAAGACTCTGAAAACCTTGAGGCTTAAATCTGATCTAAACCACATTTGTCACTTTTCTGGAGACTTGGGCTTGATATTTATGGCTCTGAGAATGGGCCTCTCATCTGATTCGTTTTGGTAGCAGCCGTCCAAATTGCCTTCCCAGAGATGCAGTGAGAGCCAGGAAGGGTGTAATGGCCCTCTGTCATTTCCGACATGACTCCTCTCAAACTGGCCTGTTGTTCACTCTCTCTCACACACACACACAAACATAAGCCAAATGATGAGTTTGGTCTTCCTCGTCATCCTCAGACGTGTAGAGTAGTCGAATGAAGATACTAATCAGTGACATATTGTGCTTTGCTTGTCACGGTGTACAGTTGTGTGTTTTCTGTCCGGACATTGTGTAGCCTCAGATATGTAGCATGGACTCTCATCTTTCTGCTCTTCTCCACATAGGGTTACTGGTGGACATCTTTGCTGACTACAAGTACCTTTTCTTGATGTGTGGGTCAGTGATCGCGGCTGGCGGGCTCTTTCTCTTCGTCATGAACATCTACAACTACCACATGCTGGAAAAAGAGAAGACAGCAAAGGACAGACAGCACAATCAAAAAACCATAGAGAACCAGGGCCAGGTGAGTGTCTCAGAGGCAGAGATGAAGCACACTTTTGAGGCAGCGGTGGAACAAACTGAGCCTGAGGTTAAAGATAAGAGCGGAGCCCAGACAGATCCACGACCGGAGGATGCAGAAACACCTTCTATTTAGCATGGATGTTTGGGGCTTATGTATGTACATGGCTTATGTATGTACGCGACTAATTCCAGCTTTCTCACACACTCATTTATTCATTTGTTCGGTCAAACAGCATTTTGATATTCAATTAACCTTTTAACTCATTTAACAAGCAAATAAGACTAAGAGTCTACAGGCATGTTAGCAGCTCTTTGAGGCTGTACTTAAGTACAAAGAAGCTTTGGGCTAAATGTCAACATCAGCGTGCTAACATGCTTACAGTGACAATGCTAACATGCTAATGTTTAAGAGGTTCAATATTTACTACGCTCACCATCTTAGTTTAACATGTTAGCACGCTAGCATTTGCTAATTAATACAAAGTTGGCCAACAGCTGAGGCTGATGGGAATTTTATAAATGTTAAGTCAGAAATAAATAATAATAATAAATAATGTCCTACTTGTAAAAGTCACAGCACACCACTGCTGCTTATTTATCTGTTATCTTGGATAACATTGAGTGAGAGCCGTGAGAGCCAGCTTCTCAAGTGTGATAAATAAATGAAATGTCTTTTGTTTGGACTGTTGGTTGGAGAAAAAAAAGACGTTGGCTCAGGGAAATAACGATTAGCATTTTTCACGATTTTCTCTCATAGACTAAAGAATTAAGTGATTAATTGGAAAAAAAATATCAACAGATTTTTCTGCTATTCAAAAAATTGTTAGCTGCAGCTTCAATTTAGTTAATCATCCACCAACTCAATCAGTTTGTTAGTTTGCCCCCCCAGAGGTTGTTAGAAGGAATGGCAGTGTGTGCAGATGACTCACTGAACTAGGTTCAGTTACTTACCTCTACTCTTTAATACTGCTGGACTGTGTGTGTGCTTTATACCTCTGTGATGTGTTTTCGACTTTGGCTGCACTGTATTACTTTGAATGACTGCGGACAATACTGTGAGGTGCTACAGCCTCTATATGAGATGAGTGAGTCTTAATGTCTCAGAGTGTATGAAATGCAGGAATTGTTGACTTCTTACTTTCACATGATCATGAACGCACATGTCTGCTTTTCTTTTCTGTGTACTGTTCAGTTCATATTCATTTAATCCGTCTATAAAAATGTATGTTCTTGCTAAGATGGGTAACCTCATGGGACTGCCATGAGATATTTTGCACTTGCAGTGTGTACTTTATAAAACTGGTAAGTTTCATTCATAAAATACTGTAGCTGCCAGTAAAGACGTAGGAGTATTTCCAGTAATTTGATGCTTTACCTCCTCTTCACTTGCTGTAAATGTATTATACGTTGAGCACTGAAGTCTGTAATGAACATACAGTAACACAGCCTGCTATTGACTTATCATTTTATTCTATAGCAAATAATAGTCTTTTTAAATTTTTGTCAATATTTATTTAATTTGAACTTTTATGCTGAAACACTATAAACTATGGTGTGTGTTCCACAGTAACTTTGTGCTGACATTTAGAAGTGACATTTGTTATTTGGGTGAAAATGGATTAGCATGCACTGTTAACTGATTTGATGCTGTGTGTATTTGAGCATGTGAGTGTTTGTTGAAGTGCGAGTGAGTGACAAAATTAATAGAGGAAGTGTTTTACAAATAATCCAAAATCTGTGATATTTGAAGGTGGCAGCTCTTTGAATTCTTTTGGTTTTTTTTTGTTTTTTTTAGCATCTCTGCTTTTCGTTAGACAAAGACATTAGAGTATGAGAGGAAATCCAGGGGAGAGAGAGAGGGGATGACATGCAGCAAAAGACTCAGCCTTGTTGGTGGTACACACTTTTAACCAGGTGAGCTGCCGGGTCGCTCAGAGAATTTAATGAAAGCTTTAGTGTACTAAACGGTTAAATGGCAAAAGTGTAATTGTTGTAGCTTTAATTTAACCTCTGACATGTTATACGCACATGTTATTTAATGTACCATTGATACTATGGATAACACTATATTGTTAACTTTAATAAACTCCACATCCATTTATTTCTGTTCATTTTTTATATACATACTGTATATTATGATACCTTTTTGTCACATCTCAGAAATTTGGCTTGTACCAATAAGATCAGATCTATTTGTTGTGGTCGATCATTTTGTTCTGCCAACGAGGAGAATGAATTGTCCACTCTCATTTCCTTCATCACCTATTGAGCCATGTTTTTTGCAATCCTCATTCAAGCAGCGAGGTAAATGACACTCGGACACAAGAGAAATTCCATCAAATCAAAATCTACCACGCAACTTCTCAACGTTGGTGGCTGTGTCCAATTTTTCACGACAATTAGAAGACTGGGGAACAAGTTTGGAAATGTCAGCAGCTTAAGGGCGTGAGCACCTAATGAAGCAAGGCCCGAATGTTCCAGGCGAGTGCTCTGAGCTGCATGCGGCCTCACACACATCAGCAAATCAGTGGGCCAATAAATTAGAAATGCACGTGCGAACACACATATACACACACATTTTTTTTTTTTTTTGCTATCTCCTGTCCCTTAGCGAAGTATTATGCAAGGTCTTTGGACGTGACAAGGTGGAAAGTTACCCTAGAGACAAGGCGATGGGCGCTGTGGCTGGGAAATCTGTTTATCATTATTATATTTCTTCTCACCTCCTGCTCCACTCTGGCCTGCTGACCCTCTGCTACTGGCCGCCCTCCCCATAATGTGTGTTCCTGCGGAGCCTCATGACTGGTGTCCTCCATGCTCAATGGTAAAAAAGACTTCTGGGTCTCCAGAGGGTCTTAGAGGTGGTTGGGTGACATGGCAATGCCGGGTGAAAAATACTGTTGCACAACAAAAATTAAGAATTATGAAAAACATGCCTTCGGGTACTTTGAAATCTGGTGTTTTTGTGCCGTATTTTCTTTATTGCTGTAATGTTATGTGGTTATGTATGTCAAGTCACGTAAATGTTTTTCTCTCTAAGGTTAATATGAGCCCCCTCAGCCGTGAAATTCTTCCTTCCCTTTGGCGTTCACAGCTTTTGCTGTTTGGGTTTCAGTGCTTTGCTAAAGACACCTCAGTAGATGGTTGCTCAGTTCAAAGGTGGGCTGCTGATACTGCTGTAAAATTTAATTTAATTGCAAAGCAGCTTGTAACACACAGACTGGTGTCCATGTCTGTGACTTAAAGAAGTGAGTAGCTGTGATAGAGCGCATGTGTTTTACTCATCTCTTAATGAGGATTACAATTAGAACGTATCACCATGAGCTAACTCTAATAGACAGCTGTCAGTTAACTGTCAGTTCTTGTTAAACAAGTAGCCGACTTGGGAGTGCATGATTGCAATTGAGTATCACTCTCCATGAAAACATCCCGTGTGTTATTTTGTGTTCATCAGCATCTACCCACGTTACCAGAGCAGACGCGGACGAGAGACTGGTGTCTGGATGTTGATTATCAGCCCTTCTCCTGACCTTTGGATCCGTGCGAATCAGATCCCGGTTGTTTACAATAGGGGGCTGACCTGATGAATCTGGAGTGGTCTTACACAAGCAAAGAGTCGGAGACAAGCGGGAAGGAAAGAATGTGCTCCCAGAGGGCTCAAAGAGCACTGGCATCTATCAGCAGAAGAAATTGAATGGGATGTTTCAGAGCAGCAGAGATTAGATAGGCCCAGGGTGTTGAGCTAGCACAGGCTACCAATGTAATGCTTCCGTCGCTGGAGTGAGATCAAACTTACAGAACACAGTGAAGCAAGGACAAGTGTAAACACACACGCACACGCCCACACACAGATACACACACACACACACACACACACACACACACACCACACCACACTGAGCATCGTACAGTGGCCTTTAGATTTGAAGAGGAGATGTGTTGCTTTGTTATTTGCTCAGGGAGTACACTGAGGGGTACTGCTAGATAATATTAGAGGTGTGCTATTTCTGCATTAACCATATTTCATTAGAATTTTTAGATGTCAGGTGTCATGTGATTCCCATTGGAGATTCAGTAATAACGTGTTCATCAAAGAGGGCTTACATAGGTTTCATTTAACACCACTGGAAATGTCACGACATGTTCCAACCAAAACATGGTGATATTTGTTAATCACAAAATAATTTACAGGACAGACCTTTAGAACATTTTGATGCTTCTTTACCTTTATACTCAAAACACCCACTGGGTCCAGAAAGTATTCATTCATTTCTTCATTCACTCGTTCTTCCATTCACAATTAGCCCATATGCCCTCCAGGGATCCTTAGGAGACCTGGAGGGCTCTGATGAAATACTGTAATATTCAGTTTTCTCCTCTCTTAAGTGTTAGAGGTGAACTGTACAAGGATTCCCCGTGTCCTTGATTTTCAGATTTCCTTTTGAATATAAAGCATTCAATCTAGTACATGTATGAATATACAAAGTCGATGACTGAAAATAAAATCTGTGATAACTGAGGCTGACTGCTGCTCCTCTTTAAAGTCATGGCCCCTTTTTTTATACAAACCTACAGACATTGAAGAACAATCTTTCTGCCCGACACTAGTATTTTATACCAACAGATGGGGTGGTTCTTTAACTAAATCAGGAGTGAATTATCTTACCACCCCTACAACTTCACCTACTACCCACTTCTCTCCCACTGTCTGGTCTTTGTCACAGTAAGAAAAAACAGCCCCTTGTTTGTTTCAGTGCTCATGCTGGGATCATGTGAGGGCATGAAGAATGTTTGCATGGAGGAAGAAGAGACCAAAAGGGAGAGAGAAGCACAAAATGTGGAGGAAGTGGTGTAAAATAAAGACAGAAAGGGCGGGCAAAGGGTTAGAGAAAGTAAGAGCGGGGGCATTTACTACTTGGGGAGGTATAGTGAACTCTTTTCCATCCATCATCCCTGTCTCTGTTCTGTCCACTGAGCAGGGGAGGTAATGAAAGTAATTTAACGTACATCTATAATTAATATGCTCTCTTTGGGCGGTGTGGTTGAGCCGAACGGGTGATGGAGTGTGTTTATTATGTGTGTGAGAGAGCTGGCATGACGGGGCACCGGGCCACTGACATGGTAATTCACAAGCCATCACTCCTGCAGCGCCGGGGTCAGCTTGGTGCAGGTATATGGGGCACCGCCGGCCTCTGTGCTCCCATAGGTACAGGTGGAAAGTGGGTTTTTGTTCTTTTTCGTCTCCTCTCACTTTCCTTCTCTCTGACTCTCCTGAAGAAAGGGGAGAAAGGAGGCGCAGCACGTAGCAGCGCCCCGGGCCAATGTTCTTGCTCTTTGCGTCCTGTTCTCTTTCTCTCTCTCTCTTTCTCTCCCTGTCTTTCTTTCTTTCGCCTCCCTCCTCTCTCTTATTGCTCCCTGATTGGTTGGTAAACTCCCTTTCTCTCTGTCCGTCTTGCTCCACCACTTTCTCTTTATTTCTCCTAATATTCTCTCCTCCTCCAAGAAAACTCAGCAAATGCACTTCAGGAATTCCTTTTTTTCTTTCTTTTTTTTTTCTTAAAAGGCAGCCTGCTTTGCACAAACACAGTTCAAACCCGACTGCCCTCAGTGCTGTCTCCTTTTGAAACTCCCTGCTCTTTGAATACCATCCGTTTGAAGAGAATGCCCTCTGCATTTCTTTTACACAGTCACTCAAGCACTCTCGCACTCTCTCTTGGATTTACACACATACACAAACACACAGGCGTATCAGGCTTATGTAGAAATATGCTCGCAATTGCACATGCATACGCACATATTCACGCACTTGACTTGCACCCAAATACACATGCCTGCGTGCTTACCTTGTAGATCAAATTCCAACAGTGTCATTGGTATGAAGAGTGAATTTCTCTTCCACTTTAAACTCCCTCCCACATTTCATCTTGCTCTTTCTCTCTCAGGCTGCGCATGGACTTGCTCTGGCTACTGGCCATTTTGCAGTAAAGGTATAATTCAGGTTAAACTACTTACATGAATCTTTTATTCGCTACAACTGAGTATTCTTGTTGTTGCTTTGGATAAAGCAGTTAAAGGGCTGGCTCACTCAAATTACAATGAAAATGTTTTTCCCACCTGACCTTGAGCGGTATTGAGCCATGCAGATCGTTTTGGCTCTATTTGCCCATGCAGGAACACGTCTTTCTGGAGACAGTGTCACCATGACTCCGGATAATCCCAGGAAAACATAGTTTCTTTGCTGGAAAGTACGATAAGACTGACACAGCAGCAAAGGTACGAGAACACATGTACTGATAAGTCACTTTAAAAATGTAAAATAAATAAATAAAAACCTAAAATACTAGATACATCATGAACATCTACTACATACAAATCAAGCACAAAAAACTAAAGGGTACCAAAAACTATGTGCACCAATAGAAATAGTAATTATTAAGTGTACTAAAACAAAAATGGGCACAAATAATTAGAAAAGTGTAAAGCTCATTGCAATGGAAATGCAATAATTACTGTTTACAAAGAATTGCACCTGAGGGAATGGAGTCGTCCTGTCTTCCTGTTCACTGTGACGTCTGTTGAGCACAGTTTCTGGAAAAAACACACACCTCTAGCTTTTTTTTTAAATATAATGTTTTAGTCCCGTGAACATCAAAATCCATATACAAATTACCTCGATTAAAAATGTCAAAGAAAAATTTTTCTCTGGTGATATTCTAAATGTGTCTTGTTGTCTGTGCAGCCCAAGTCCGTTTTTTCCTTGGTGCCACAGACCTCTACTGGCAAAAAAACTATTTAAAACACACAGTCACGCTATTGCACTATGTGACATGTCCTTCAATATAATGAACATGAGCATTGGAGTTTATTTTGTGTTGATCCCACACACACCATTCTTCTAAATACTATAGCACGTATTCATCCACAGTAGTCCCAAGGTAATACACAATTTACTCTTGTTCTATAAATGTTTGCTGAAAACTACAATTCCCAGCTTTTTTTTTGTTTGTTTGTTTTTTTAAAAAGAAAAAAGAAAGAAAAACAACAGCAACAAATGTTTGTGTTTTAAACCTGTTTTAAAGAT